TTTCAACCGCTTTTTTTCTATTCAAATGTTTCCAGGCCTTCACTCCGGAATGCTTATCGTCTACGGAACTTTGCTCTGCGTACACCCGTTTGTCCGAAGCTGTTAGGGATCCCGAACGAAGTCCTAGGGCGCTCAAACTTTTGAGTGAGCTTTCTGTAGTCATTTTGTAAGCTTCATTTCTTCTACCTTCAACAAGATTCGGGGTCTTGCAGGACGGCTAGGTATGGATAAAGCAGCTGCATCCTTGCCTCCACAACAGTTCGCTCCGTTGCTTCCGTTGGCGTTCAGGAATCTGGCCAGCCAACCAGATTCAAATGCTCCTTTGCATATTCTCTGTATGGAACATGTAGTTACGTTTGTGTTTCACGCGTTCCCAGCTAATTTTCCGCCGGGTTTGGATATGGCTTTGGACGGTTAGTTTGTTACCGATGAGTTGTACGCGGGATCCTGCTCGAGGTTCGGATTGTAAGTGTCATTTTCAGGTTGCAATACTGGTGAAACACCGCCAGCTCTTCTTCAAGTTTTTGTGGAGCGGTTAGGCGCGGAACACTATGAGACGCAGAAGGCAGACTTTGTTCTGGAATGGACAGAAGGTAAATGAGGAACTGCTTACAAAAGAGCGCTCGAAAATATGCTAGATTATTGCCACGAAAACATTATTTTTGTTGAATGGATTCAAAGATACGCTTTGCGCCCACCTTCGAGGATCCTGGTCCTAGCTATGTGCGATGTGCACAAGTTCGCAGCTGAAAAACTGTGCCACGTTCATCACTAATGTTGCGCCGAAATGAGGCTCGATGGTTATGTTAGCTATCTGCCGTTTCATACTCCTCCCAACTCGCGGACGTGACCTGCGCACGACCAGGTGTGCGCCTAACTATAGCCAGCGCGCTACTCTTTTGCGCCCTCTCTCGTTTTGTTGTTCTTCACTTGGCCGCGATAAGCTTACCATTAATGCTGCATTGAACGCATGTTGCGCGTTGTGAATAGTGAATGGAGTAAGAGACAGCATCCAAGCGTCACAATCCTCCACTTGAATTCCGCGCATTTTTGAGTGATAAAACGGCAAAATTCTACAACTACGGGCCCGTCCACCTCGCCATGGCAAGGATATGGGGATTGAAGGGTATAGAGAGTACACAGACGAAAAATATCGGCCTCTTGCACTTTGTAGAGCCTGTGGGGGAGGGGGATAGACAACTCCTACTCGTAAGTATATGGCATTGGAGAGAAGTACTTTCAGATTTCGAGGCCTGTTGCATTCGGAGGCAGAGGGGTAAAATGGATAGATTTGCAGGCTTACACAACTCCTTTTCAGAGACGAACTCTGTACTCACCCCAGGGACGATTCTGTCAATGAGTCTGATGGGTCCGCAGCTGCAGCAGCGTACCACTCGTCTCCATACTCCGTCCGCGCTGAACGTGCAGGCTCAATAGCGCGTTTGGGTATAGTTACGCGTATGACGACTGGTCGTGCCGCAGCGCAGTCAGAATATGCAGACGGCACCTTCCACTTCCTCACCCCATTTCCGTGAACTCTTATCTGG